CGTGGCCCTCCCCGTCGGCGGGACCCGCTTCCTCTTCGGAGTCCTCGAACTCCCATTGCGGGTGTTCCGTCACCTCCGGCGGCGGCTCCTTCACGTCCAATTTGATGTCCTTCTGTTGGTCGAAGCCCAGGTACGAGTCGGAACGGAGGCACACGGTGAACGTGTAGATGCCGGGCCACTTTGGCGCCGTAAACTGGAAGAACGGAAAGTGGCGTCAAGCGGATCGACTCTGTACTCCCCGAGCAATAGGGATGTGCATGTGATTCAAATATCGGTTATTCATTTTTATTCAGTATAATTTTTCGCGGAGGAGAAGTACCACGTATTGTTATGCTCAGAATAAGACGGTTGGATATGATTTACTTCTATGCAAAAGTGGTCGTTTGTCCATTGCAGGACGTCAGGGTTTTATTTTGATACACATTTTTGGAACTGATTTCAATGAAATATATTTTGCCTGATACGAGGGATGTCTTTTAAGTTTTGTATATGGAAATAAAACAACACGGTAGGTAGTTTTAAATGACTTTATTGTTTTTCGAAGTATACTCCACGAAGATTAACACAAATCTGCATGCGCTCGAACCAATTTTCGAAGCACTTTTCCACTCGTTTGCTGGCAGATCCAAAACGGCATTTTTGAATGCGTCAACTGCTTCTTCTAGTGACTGGAACCTTTGACCACGCAGTCTGTTTTAATTTTTGGGAAAGTAAAGAAATCGTTAGCACTTAGATCGGGACTATATGGAGGATGGTCCAATAATTCCACGTTTTCTTACGGAAGATTAAGGCCTTGTTTTTTGGGCTGTGTGCGAGCTTGCATTGTCTTGGTGGAGGATGATTCTTCTTTCGGGGTTGATTTTTCGAGCTCGGTGATGACTTTTGGCAAACAAATGGCGGTATACCAATCCGCAGAACAGTTCTTTTCTCCTTAAGAGGAATGCTTTTGACACACATATGTCGCGACATCTTTTTCGAAACACTTCGAGAACGAATGACTTTTGTGGCTTTTTTCCTTCACCTTGAACACCCAAACAGCCGACTGGCGTTTATTTTCTGGTTCATAACAGTAAATCCACGATTCATCACCACTAACAATGCTGTACACATTTTTTGAGTATCCGGAATTGAAACGTTCAAGAATTTTTTACACCAATTACCCTGGCTGCTTTCTGCTCTTCAGTCAACAGGTGGGGCATCCAACGAGAAACTAATTTTCTTACTCCTAATTCTTCAGTAACTCAGCAAGGCATTCTTGTTGCGATAATTGTCTCCGAAAGTTGTAATAAATTATGGCGCGAAAATGTTCTCGGTTGAGTTCCATTTTTCTAATGACTTGGTGACACTTAAAAATTCACTGTAGTGAGAACACTGGCACGTATTGTTGTGAAACTTTGAATTTAAGTTTACTAAAGAGTGAGTTTAAGATTCAGTACTGACGTTCGATCCGCGCGGCCTACTATGTTTTCTATATGCAAAACGTATTTGACTTTTTACAAAAAAAAAGTTCTAGAAGGTGAAAGTACCCCACCCCTACATACATTATAGCAGAATCGCTCAAAGAAGTTACATGAAATAAGCTAGTCAAAGCTACAATTTATAAAAGGAAAAATTCAAAGACCTTGGTCTTACATAAGTTCAAGGATTCTGAGTTAAAAAGAGACTACAATTATAGAAAGTCTATTATTACTACTGGAAGTGAAAATGATTGGCTTGAATACACAAGATCACGAAACCAATCTGTAGCAGTTCTACCAGATGAAAAAAGAAATACTCTCAATAAACTAGTAGTGATGGCCGGAAGACAAAAACTAATTGACCAATCGACTCCAATCTTGTTGTGTTTATTTAAAAGTAAGAATCCTTCGGATTTGAAGAATTTCAAGTAGCCGTGTAAAATTTTCGTCGCATTAGCAACAATCTGCATTTTGCCTCGGTTTTTGACCATAACTTTTTTACTATTAGTTGAATCTTTTACGTGAGGCCTCATTCTGTAGGTCTCATGAATACCTAAATCTTATTTGAAGAGTTTTTTCGTTCCTACCATCACTTTCGATTGCATCCCAAAAAACATGTTTTCTCATTCTTTGTTGTCGCATAAAAAGATTTTCCACCAAAATTGGTGTACCCATTTTAAGCATCCATGTTTTACGAGGGTGGTCCCAGAAGTACCCGGCCTGACCTACAGATGGCGATAGTTGTTTGAAAAATATCATTGTATTAGAAAGTATGCAACCTATAAAGCATATGTGTCAAGTTTGAAGACGCCACGTTGCTTAGTATTTGTTTGGCAGCCATCAATACTGAACGTTTTCAGTGAATTTGTGAAAATGGAGAAAATTGGTCATGTGGTACAATACTTTTATTTCAAAGACCTCAGCCCAACCAATATAAAAGCTGAACTGAATTCTACTCTGGGTCAGTCTGCTCATTCGTTTACAACAGTAAAATATTGGGTAGCAGAGTTTAAACGAGACCGTATGAGCTGCCAAGACGAGAATCGCAGTGGTCGACAAAATGAGGGGACGACTCCAGAAATGGTGAAGAAAATTCACAAAGCGGTACCGAATGATCGTCGACTGAAAGTGCGCGAGCTAGCAGACATAGTAGGCATTTCAAAAAGTGCGGTTCATCGCATATTATCTGAAAATTTGGACATGAGAAAGCTGTGTGCCGCGATTGCTTATAATTGAGCAAAATCAGTGTCGTGAAAATGTTTCAATTGAGTGTTTAGCGAAGTTTCACAGCAACAAAGCAGAATTTTTGCGTCGTTTCATAACCATGGATGAAACATGGGTCCATCACTTCGAGACAAAGACAATGGACGCAAAAGTGACAACCGGCTCCAAAGAAGGCGAAGACCGTTTCATCTGCGGGCAAGGTTATGGCGTCGGTTTTTTGGGATGCGCCTGGGATAATTTTCATTGACTATCTTGAAAAAGGTAAAACTATCAACGGCGAGTATTATGCGAACTTATTGCAACATTTGAGCGATGAAATCAAGCAAAAACGGCCGCATTTGGTTAAGAAGAAATGACAATGCACCAGCTCACAAATCCGTTATTGCAATGGCCAAAATTAACGAATCAAAGTTTGAATTGCTACCTCATGCACCCTATTTACCAGATTTAGCCCCCTCGGATTATTTTCTGTTTCCAAACTTGAAAAAATGGCTCACTGGTCATAGATTTTCCAACGATGAAGAAGTGATGTCGGCAGTTAATGGCTATTTTGAGAAGCAAGACAGTTCTTATTATGAAAAGGATATCGAACTTATTGAACATCGCTGGGAAAAGTGTATAGAGCTCAAAGGAGATTATGTTGAAAAATAAATACATTTTTTTACAAAATTTTCTGGGACCACCCTCGTAAATACCCCCTGAACAACTTGCATCAATAAAACCAGACTTTACAATATTTATTTTCGTAACTTGTCGAGATTTATTTTGCGCAATTTGTAGCTCCGAAGAAAACATTAAATAAATGTAGAGACGTCGGCTTTACGACTAGAGTGAATCATTGAACATTATATCCCAAGATCCGAAGATTACGAGAAGTAACTGTTTTCATCTACGGATGATCTTACCTTAAGATGAATCGCCTCTTTTTCTACTAAACTAGTAACATGGTAAGGATGCGTCAAAAGTGTCCTAGATCTTCTATCACAAATATAAACCCACCAATACTCTTGTTTATCATGCGGGAAATATGGACAATGGACTGGATGGGACGATTTTGATTTTCCTTCAAGGGATTTTTCCCTTTCATGGATTTTCTGGAACTTCTCCCATTCCTAAAAATCGAAAAAAAACCTTTTGAAGATCTTCAGTTCAATATATTTGCTGCTGTTCACTGCTTAAGGCTGTATTAGCCTGACAGCTGGAGCTTAAAGAATAAGCGAGTTTTTTGGCCTTGAAACTAACACGAATCTCAAGTTGACATTTTGATTTTATGAGATTTTAAAGTAGTGCCACTTGCACAATGGGGAAAACAGAATTTCCCATATAAATATTACAGGGAAAAATATGTATCACAATATGTCAAGCATAAAAATCTCAGGCATTTCTACAAATTGTGACCAAACGCAAGTGGTACCTCAAAGCGCAGTTAGACCACAGTGGCGTAGCTAGAAGTCATGGGGCCCCGGGGCAAACATTTTTTGGGGGCCCTCACGAGTATGTTTAAGAATAAAAAATATCATGTTATAATAAAAAAAATTTTATTGCCATAAAACAAAAATTAACACAAATTGAAATAATGAAATAACAATAATAAAATTAAAAATCCCTTTTTCTTGCTTTTCTATTTGCAATTCGTTGATAATATCATTTATATCAAGGTTTTGGGCTTCTTCATTCTCTATAGAGAGCAAAGCAAGATCGCTTAATCTAATCTGAACTGTAGTAGACCTAAGATAGTTTTTTAGAAGTTTTAGCTTGTTAAATGATCTTTCAACAATTGCAGTAGTTACAGGCAACGTAAAAAATAAAAGAAACATTAAGTAAACTTCACTTAAGTCGCTTTCAAGTACTCCATACTTACTTGAAATTATATTGAAATATTCCTTAACTGATAGATCATTGTTAAGGTCTGTTTTCCAAACATTTAACAAATTGGTATACTGAAATAATAAATTATTTAAATCAAATATTTCAGGATATTTGTTATAAATGGATGTTTCATCTCAACTTAATATAATTTTTGGAGGAACTAAATCAAACAATTTATTAATTTTTTCATGCTCCTAAATCTATTAGAAATCTTTGTCAGAACACGGTCCATAACAACATTAAAAACATTTATTTTTAATAAAATGTGAGTATTATTAAATCTGTAATCAGTTAAGAGTTCGTCAAAGTGTTTTTTAACTTTAGGTTGACATATTTGCCTGAATTCCGGTTGAATATTCCATTTGCTAGCCAGTTCCGTAGCTTCAATCATTAAAATTTCAGTAAGTTTTTTTTCTACTTGTTCTAAAACAGTCACAGATTCACTTAAATCAATATTTTTCTTTTGAAGGACCTTTGAGGCGAAGTTAACCTGGGTAAAGATTTTATAAAACATTGTTGAAATAAATACAAATTCAAAGCAACACATTTGTTTTTTAATGGAAGAAGCTTCTCTTTCTTCTTTTTTATGAGACTGTAACTCTATTTCTGTTAAAGATTTAATAATATCAAGATAATGAAGTTTGACAGCACTAATAGACAATATCCTTCCTGACCAACGAGTTGGATTTAATGTTTTTAAAGTTGTTTTGGATTCACTGGTAAAAGAAGCTAAAATATCCCATCTATTAATACTTAAACCAAAAAAAGAATATATATTTTGCAAAGTGGCAAAATATTGCGAGACCTCTTTACAACAATTTACTGCATCATTTATTATTAAATTTAAGTTGTGACTTGCACAATGTACATATTCGGCATTTTCTTGAACTCTGTTTATTTGAGCATTTACTCCATTATAAGCCCCACTCATTATACTGGCTCCATCGTAGCCTTGCCCATAACATTTTTCAATGGGAATATCTAGATTTTTTAGTATATTTAAAACTTCTTGAGTCATTCCTCCAGCAGAATGATCTTTTAACTGGAAAAAAAACCAAAAAAGTTTCTTTGATTTCAAACTTTTGAGATAGCAGATTTTTATCTCGAATTATGTGACACGTTCGAATGACTATACTTAATTGATCTATCTTTGTGATATCTTGAGTTGTATCAAGAAGCAAAGAAAAAATGTTGCGGAATTTATTTGTTTTGTTAATTCAAAAGTAAGTTTTTTGAAAGGCAATCTATCAATTCATTTTGAATAGTTGGGCTAAGATATCGCACAGATCCAGAAGGCATTTCCCCACTGTTTAATAACATCGTCATAGTCTGACAAAAATTTCACTTGAGCCATAAAATTCCCACTAAAATCATCTTGACGTTCACGGTGCCACCGAAATGACAAGGAACATTTTGCCAGAAGTAATGTAATTTTAAATAATCTTTGCAACATCATTTTCCAGAAGGATGCTTGAAATCTGATCTCTTCTTCTAGGTTCTTGTCAATGGCACGATTTTTTCTCCAAAGGTCGTGAACAGCGCAAGCTTCATATGAGCTTTGCTTTTACTGTGCTCTTCACTGCGTGATGATAAATGTTTCCAATCTCTTAAGCCCGTACTCCAGTGACTGCACAATTTTGAGAAAAGCCAACAAGATTCACAATAGGCTGCATCTAGTACAGTTGAATAGCACAGCCAAAGACGATTGACAGGGCCGTATTTTGTAGTAGAAAAATAATAACTCTAAAACTGCGATCATTTTGGTTCGAATCCTTGGGAAATGGACCTTTAGGTCTATTCGGTTCAAGACTAATAATAATCTTTTTATCTTCATCAGTAAGAGTTTTTCCCATGTAAAATCCAAGATCGCTATTAGAGGAACCTGGTGTAGTAAACATGGCACTGCTAATAACTTTATCAAAAGTAAAAGTCTTAGTACAAGGCAAAAGTTCTTTAGAGGTAGAACAAGAAATAAAAGTTGATTCACGTGTCTCAGAAATATTGATAGTTACTTGTTATTTTTCAGAAGATTGAGAGGCTTTAAAATTTTTTTCTATTTTAGCATGCTTTTTTAATTTTTCCTCTTTTTCTAATTTCAATTTTCGTTTCTGTGCTCCAGACTGATATTTCCGCTTATCTTCCATTTTTATTTTTTTAGCGTTTTGTTCCGCAATCTGCTAATCCTGCAAAGAGAAGAATACACAACATTTTTAAATGCATTAAATAGTTCGATAGTTGTGTATCAATTAGACTGTTTCAAAAAAATCGTCTATTTTTTTCTCTCAAGTACGTCGAAAATATTGTTAGAAATGACGAAAAAAAATCCTGTAAAACTAACAGCTCTTAATATTAATATTAAGTGGTGCCGCATCGCAAATTTCAATTTCCCTCGAAAAACTTTTGAACGAGTAGGTTTAAAGGAAGAGACCTTTTTTGTAAAGCAAGAGTAAACAATGAACTCATCCGTATGATAATTTAGTATTGAGAAAAAAATTCAAAAGTTGAAAACAATTTTTTCCCATGTTAATCGAATGGGAAATTGAAATTTGCGATGCGGCACCTCAAAATATTAATATTTAAGAGCTGTAACTTTTACAGGATTTTTTTTCGTCATTTCTAACAATTTGTTCGATATACTATATACTTAAGAGAAAAAAAAATAGTCGATATTTTTGAAACAGTCAATAGGTCATTTTTAGTCTTTAAGAAACTTTTCGAATTTAGTGTCGGGTTTAAGGTGCCCGCAGAGTTTCCGTAACATAAGACTTAAGCCTTAAGCTGTAACGTAATTTCTCATGCCTTAAGGCTTAAGTCTTGACTATACTTTATAAATCACCTTATCAGAATTCTGTATAATTCCTTGCGGTTAAGTCTTAATCTGTCTTAAATGAAACTTAAGTCTTACGTTACGGAAATTCTGCAGGCGCCTTTACTCAGCAAGGTAATGGACAAATGTACATTTACAAACAAAATTACGCACAAATCAAAATCGAGCGATTTATTCATTAAGTAATATAACTTACACTTACCTTTTTTTCTAAAAGGTACCTTATTATAACGAGACACAATAGTCACAATACAAATATAGTAATGTTATTTTACACCACGCCGGGCACCACGGCACGACTACGACACATCAATATCACATAGGGTACGCTGGGTAGTTAGAATCATCAAAACAATAGATCGGGGAATCCCCAAAGACGAGGCGTAATATTAAGGCGGTGGTGCCAAGCCCGTCGCGGTCCGACGGATTATAGCTACATACATTTAGGAACGCAAACGTTTTCCTCAGATATGTAGCGTTTTAAAAAATAAACATTATTTATCATTATATTTATTATTTATTTTTCTTTTTAGTATACCTAGGTTATATTAGCACTCAATGAATTTTTTGCTGATCGGCGCTTAAAAACCCCCCTATAAGCCGGGGCCCCGGGACACTGCCCCGGTTTGCCCTAGGATAGCTACGCCCCTGTTAGACCACCTTTTAGACTTTCAATTCCTATATTAATAAAATCCCGGAGTTTAGAAACAGCTTCTATAGATCGAAAGTGATCAAATGATAACAAACCTGATCATCATCTTCTGGATTAGATTTCCTATCGTCCTCGTCGGAAGACTTGTCTTCCTCCACATCGCTGCCAGCCACACTGTCCTCTTCCGAGTCGCTATCTTCATCTTCTTTCTCTTCCCTTTTGGAAGACTTTTCTTTCTTTTTGTCACCGGCCGGATTCGGTGATTCGTCCACCTTTGGTTTATGGGACGCGACGGAATTCGCCGTTGCTGATTTTCCCCTGAGGGCTTACCTTTGCTCTTGGTCTTTTTACCGCCTGTTAATAAATAAGACCAAAAAATACAAACAATTCGACAACTGTAACGAAAAAAAAAGGTAAATCTAAAGAAACCTTTTATGTCAAAATACATCAAGTCAATTAAGATATGAACCGTAGAATAGACAGATAGATAGATATGCTTTATTGTCTGAAGAATATAATCATTCTTGATGACAAAGCTAAATGAAAACTAGACTATAACATGATTACATATGTGAATCTTAAGTAGAATTGTAGAATTCACACAGGTATAATATGGTCTACATATTAAAAAGTGTTTAAGTTCACGGCGAAATATAGGGTTGTCCAATGGGGACGCACGAAAGTAAACGTCAATTTGACATAGACGCCATCTTTGTTTTCTGTCACCGACATGTCATTTTGTTAGTTGAATGTTTACCATTGATCGCTATGGAGTCGTATTCGATTGAAGACCGCATTAAAGTTATTCAAGAGCACTACAAAAATGGTGTAAAAATAAAAAACACGTTTCGCGCGCTTCGTGAACATTTCGGTCGCAACAACCGCCCAAACGAAACAACCATCGGTCGTCTGGTGCGTAAATTCGAGGCAACAGGTTCTGTGGCAAATCTGCCAGGCTCTGGCCGGCCAAGGAGCGTTCGCACACCGGAAAATATTGCTGTTGTGAAGGAGAGTGTGAGAGACGATCCGAAACAATCAACAACGCGTCGATCCCAAGAATTGGGCATTTCGAGAACCAGTTTGCTCCGCATGCTCCACAAGGATTTGAATGTACACGCCTACAAAATCCAATTGACGCAAGAGCTGCGTCGGGCCCACCATTTTTCGCGCCGAACGTTCTCAGATTGGCTCCTTGAACACCGCCAAATTGGTGCCAATTTTTCATCAAAAATCATGTTCAGCGACGAAGCGCATTTCACTTTGAATGGGACGGTAAACAAGCGAAACTGCCGCATCTGGGCGAACGAAAATCCCCGTGAGTATCAAGAGCAGCCGATGCATCCTCAAAAAGCGACTGTGTGGTGTGCATTGTGGTCAAAAGGCATCATCGGACCTTACTTTTTCGAAAATGCGGCCGGGGACGCCGTTACCGTCAATTCTGAGCGATATCACGTGATGATAGAGGACTATTTTTTGCCGCAACTTGAAGGAACGGATATGGAAGATGTTTATTTCCAACAAGACGGTGCAACATGCCACACAACCAACGTCAATATCCATCGATTGCAGTCCTTCTTCGGTGATCGCGTGATTTCGCGCAGAGGAAATGTGCCATGGCCACCAAGATCGTGCGATTTGACTCCCTTGGACTTCTTTTTATGGGGATATTTGAAAAGCAAAGTCTACGTCAACAAACCAGCCACCCTCCAAGAACTCAAAAACAACATCATTGCCGCGATAAATGCCATAGAACCGACCATGTTGCAAAATGTCATTGAAAATTTCGACCATCGCGTGGACGTCTGTAAATCCAGTCATGGTGAACATTTGAGCGATATTATTTTTCATACATAAATGGTATAAATGAACCTTCAAAATAAAGTACCCAACTTGATTTGAATATCAATCTTTCTTGTTTTAATATGCGTTTACTTTCCTGCGTCCGTTTGGACAACCCCATATATTTAAATGGTTAATCCCTTTGATAGCATCAGGGAGGCACATGTAAACTGTTAGACCATTATAAATTTTTGAGTCTTGCACAAGAGTTGTTTTAGGTACTAATAATTTCAAATATTTTAACTTATATGTAATGTTTCATATTTAGATATATTTTTAAAATAGTTTCCCCTGGTTTTAGTCTCCATGCTTAAATGTCTCACTTACTTTTCTTCTGTTGCTTCAACCACGCAGGCCTTTTATTGGCCGCGGCTTCGTTCGCAGGTTCCCCAGCTCCGGATTCTTTGGTGTCTTCAGTGCCGTTTTCGTTAATACGAGTTGCTATTTTGGCGGTTTCATCACCAAACAAGGTGCTCATGTCTTTCCTTGTCAGTGTAACCGTTACCGTCACTATCGCTTTGGCTGTAACTTCTTTGGGGTTTTCGTCATCCATTACTGAAAACATGATACTATTAGAAGATATTCTTCCTCGAAAGTAGTAAATATAAAACTGGTAACCGTAAGCCCCTCATGCCCCCTCAAGAAAAAACCTCCCACTGTCGATCTTTAAACAAAACGTAGCCAGTATGTATAGAAAAAATTAATCTAAGTCTACAAGGATAATCAGGGGTAAATGCTAAAACAGTATATTGAATTTTTTTTTAGATGATACGATAAAGGAAACTCAACATGGTTATATTGAAGGTAATCAACTGTTACAGCTGCTTATAAGTCTTGTCCTTACTAAAGCATATGACTGTCTAGATCAAAATATATTATCGCAAACATTAGAAAGACATGACACTAGAGGTCCAGCACTTTTTTGGATAGAATCATACCTCATAGTCAAATCAGATTAGACGAAAAAACCCCTGGTTTGGGAAATCATGTAAAGTCTGCTTTTATTGCGGCAACTTGTTCAAAGGGATATTTAAGAGATGGAAGCATAAAATGGGTTCACCAATTTTTGCGGGAAAACTTTTTATTCAACAACAAAGAATGAGAAAACGTGTTTTTGGGATTCAATCGAAAGTGTTGGCAGGAACGAAAAAACTCATATAAAATTTTTAGATATTTATAAGACCTACAAAATGAGACCACACGTAAAAAGATCCGACTAATAGCAAAAAAGTTATGGCCGAAAACCGAGGCAAACTGCAGGTTTTGCCATTTGTCGGTAATGCAACGATGGTTTCTCGCAGATATTTGAAATTCTTCAAATTCGTAGGATTCGTACTTCTAAATAACGACAACAAAATTGGAGTAGATTGGTCGAGTAGTTTTTGAGAATTTCTAATTGTTTATCCTAAAACTCCTGTATTCCTGCCATCACTACTAGTTTACTGAGCAATATACAGGATTCGTTCAAAAGGCATTTTATAGTAAAAAAACACGAGTTTACCTTGCAGACATAAATCACAAATCATTCCGGAAGATAATTGTTGTTTTTATGCGAAAAACGAAGGGTTACGTTTTTTCTTCTAAACAAATTCAAACATTTTGTATTTGTTGGTAAATGAACAGACTCGCTACGATGTTCGAAAAACATACGTTATTATACACATTTTAAAACAAAGCGGATGTGCCCATCACCAATAGTGCTGAAATTTTTACACGGTCACAGATGAGCCCTAACGTAGTAGTAGTAGTAGTAGTAGAAAGATTTATTTAGCACATTTGGCTACATAAACAGAACAATTGTAAACAACTTATAACTAGTAAATTCAAGCCATATGGTGTTTGATGTAAATGCTGGGCAACCTATAATTGTAGATTTAACAAGTGATTTCTCAATTTTACTTTAAATTTTGTCAAAGTTTTCTGGTCTTTTATCTCCGAGTATAATTTATTATATTCAATCAACCCTTGATGGAATACAGATTTGTAGCATATGTTATACTTTTTGGTCATTAAATGGAAGTCATCTTTATTTCTGGTATTATGTAAATGATGGTCGACATTTGATGATGTTAAATTAGTTAGACTTGATGGAAATATATTATTTTTTACTTTATAAATGAATATCATTACAAGATATTTGATAAAATTTTTTACATTGAGCCATTTTAATTTGCTAAGCATTTGCCTAATTGGAGTATATTTATCTTTATTTAGTATTATTCTTATGTACTTATTTTGTAAAATTTGCAGTCTTTCAAAAATTGAATTATTTGCTAAATATAGAATAGTCGAACAGTACAAGAAATTTGGAAGAATGATGGTATTATAGATAATTTTTCTGCTATATGAACTCAGACATCCAGAAACTCTCGATAAATATCCCACTTTACTACTAATCTTATTTATAACTTTTTCATAATGAATATCAAAAATTAATCGAGAGACAACAAAAACTCCCAGGTATTTAAAATTTTCTACGAATTCAATATCTTCACCATCAATATTCAGTTGAACATCTGTACATTGTTTTTTTCCGATTAACAAGGCTTTCGTTTTACTTGCATTTAATTTTAGTCTGTTAGATGCTAACCATTTTGAGACAAGCTTCAAGTCTTCATTTATATAAGAGATACCAGACCGAATATTTTTAGTACTTATATAAATCATAGTGTCATCGGCGAAAATCTGAATTATGCATTTTTTTACTAAGGCAGGTAAATCATTTATGTATAAAATAAAAAGAAGTGGTCCCAGGATACTACCCTGTGGAACACCCAACGTATTTTCAATTTTTGATGAAATAGTGTTATTAACTTTTGTAACTTGCATCCTTTTAGACAAATAATTTCTAAAGCAATCTAAAACACTTCCTGTTATACCATATGCCTTCAATTTACCTAACAAAATATCTCTATCAATCGTTTCAAATGCCCTCTTCAAATCCAAAAATACTGCTATGACAACTTCTTCTGAGTCTATGGCTCTTCTCCAATTCTCAGTTACCAACTGGAAAGCTGTTTCTGTGGAATATTTTTTCGAAACCCTGCTTGCGCCTCCACTAAAATTTTGTTTTCTTCTATAAACTGCATTAATTGGTCATGCACTATGGACTCTAATAATTTTTCAATGTCTGGTAACACATTTACTGGTCTCATATCGCTGTATCTTTTAGAATTTTTTATTTTGGGAACTGGTGTTATTGTAGAGCATTTCAAATTTTCAGGAAAAGAACTGCTTCTCAGTGAACAATTGATCCAATTTAATACAGGATATCCCAAAATTTCGAAACAGTTTTTCAGCACGATTTTAGTAGTGATTTCGGCACAGTTGTTATTTGATTTTAAACTGTTTACTTTTTTTCTTTGGTAATTCAATGATACGCTGTGAAATTTTGAAAGTGTATGCAACATTTCCCCCTGGAAACTGATTTTCATATAGTCAGGTGCAGCATTGGCAGTACCCACAATATCAACAATACTCTCCACAAAATATTCATTTAGTTTGTTTGCAATCACCAAAGAATTTGTTTCGGTACCGTTTTCGAATTGAACTTGATTTACACAATCATGCGGCTTCGAATTGATCAGTCTTTTTAAAGTCTTCCACATCTTTACACTGTCGCACTTGTTATTATCGATTTGTTTATCGTAGAATTTCCTTTTTTCTTCTCTAATTACATATACACATTTATTCCTAAGAGTTTTATATACCTCCCAATCATCATTTGATTTTGTGAATATACATTTATTGTATTGTTTGTCTCTCAAATTTTGAGCTTCCTTAATATTCTTGTTATACCGGGGTGTATTTTTGTCGAGCAAATCACTTCAGATCAGTTGCAAGATCTAAACAAGTTTTTATATTTCCTATTATGTTGTCATATATTTTTTCCATATTCTCACCAAAATTCCAATAGCAGCCAGCAAGTTCTCGTTCAAGTTTTTCGTACTTAATAGTATTTACGATTTTCTTAATTTTTGTATCAGAAAAATGCCCTACCAAGGGCAGCATTGTCCAACTGTGATCGCTAACTTTAGGTGTATGTACAGCTTTAATTTTTTGCTTGAACCCATAGTTGTTTATGGTTTCTTTCAATTTTCTTGTTTTCATGCTTTTTTTAAAAAACGATAAAAATGTATCCGCATCACTATTTGGTGAACGGTAAAAAGTAGGCCACATAATCCAGTTTCTTTACGAACAAATATAATTCCCTGGACCTTTTTTCTAGAAGTATTAGTATAGGTCTGATTTCGAAATCTCGTACTATTAAAACGGCTGCAAGTTGAAACTATTAGAAAATAAACTCGAGAAAACGAAAAAACAGTAGACAAATATCAACCAAATTGTAGCGAGCTGACCGTCTTCAAAATTAGGCAAAATGCTCAGTATTAGTCCCTAATACCATATTTAAGCTTATGCTTATACTTAAGTACATCAAAATTACGGTTCTTATTACCTTCCACCTGTGTCTGCATGTCAACAACAGGCATCCTAGCTAGTACCTTCATAATATTTTCATACTCGTCGTCTCCTAGATCCCTTAACATATTCCTTCTCTCGTCAGCCTTGAGTTGCGCGAACTGTTCCAAGCTTTTGATTTGTCTCTTTTTCGAATTGAAGTACTTCAAGTTATCATCACCTATATAGGGTAGCTGGAGTAAAGGCGATTTGAACTCCCACAACGCCTGCACTATCATTGGACAGAGCTTCATACAATTTTCGATCGTTTGGAGTCTTGGTAGTTTCATAACTGGAATTTGGTAAATACTGTAGTGAGGAACAATGAATGAAGCATGAAGAAAATAGAGCTTGCTGAAAGCAGCTCAAGGACAATTCGGCTTCAACACAATTGAGAATTTCGTTGTGGTGATTTTGTTCTCACCAAAGCAACTACCGAGCAACTAACTATCTTGCTTTGAAGTCGTGGATAAATACTATATACTGGGTGCGCCATCTATTACTTTTTTTTTACCTATAAGTTTATGTGTTACCATGTGAGTCAAAAGTCATGTGGCACGCATAAATGAACTGTCAAAGCTATGCCATTTATAGTCATGGATTCGTTTACAACACAACAACGCATTTTGGTTATCCAAACTTATTACGAAAACGGTCGAAATATAAAAAATACTTTTCGCAAACTTCGCACTAATTTTGGTCGACATGGACCCCCTACAGAGCCTGGAATTCGTTGGATTGCTAATCGTTTTGAGGAAACTGGTTCAGCTGAAGGTCGTAGACCATACCGACATGCTCGTCCAGTTCGTACTCGTGAAAACAACAACAACAACCACCTCGACTAGGCACCGTTCGCAACAATTGGGAATTAGTGAGACCACTTTACGCCGGATTTTACACATTGATTTACACCTCCATCCATACAAAATCTAACTAACACAAGAATTAAAGCCGGCAGACCATCAATAGCGGCGTGTTTTTGTTAAACAGATGTTGGAAAGAGAAGACGGATTTTCGGCCAAAGTGCTCTTTTCTGATGAGGCTCATTTTCACCTCAATGGGTACGAAAATAAGCAAAATTTCAGATTCTGGGGGGTGGAAAAACCACACCAATATCATGAACAACCTCTCCATCCTGAAAAGTGACTGTTTGGTGCGGATTATGGGCTGGTGGCATCATTGGACCATTCTTCTTTGAAGATGCCGAAGAAAAAGCCATTACCGTCAACAGGGAACATTATCGCGGCATATTAACAGACTTTTTGTGACCACAATTGGATCGTATTGGTGCCGACGATGTTTGGTTTCATCAAGACGGAGCAACACTCGCCTTATTGCACACGAAATTTCAAGATCGCATAATTTCACGAAATTTAGATGTCAGTTGGCCACCGAGATCGTGCGATTTAACACATCTTGACTATTTTCTTTGGGGATTTTAGAAAGGAAAAGTGTATGCGAATGGTCCCGGACAATTCAAGACCTAAAGCGCAATATTTGGACTGAAATTGCGGACATAGACCCGATTATTCCGGGAAAAGTCATTGAAAATTTTGATGTTGGCCTGTAAACGAAGTCGCGGTGGTCACATGACTGATGTTATTTTTCATACATAAATGGCATAAACCAACCTTCATTTATCAATAAAAAATTCGATTTCACCTCGTAAAAAGCGTGTTGATTTTTCAAATAGAAAAAAGTAATAGATGACGCACCCTGTACTATACGAGGTTTGTCCTGAAAACACGTATAAAAGTGGAATAATAACTTTATTTTACAATTGTTCAGGTATTTCAATACGGTCTCTTTCAAACTACTCCCCCTGAGACAAGATGCACTTTTGCCAACGCCGTTTCCACTGTTGATACTATCGCTGAAAGTCTTCAATTGTTTTCACACGCGAGAGGGAACCACCGGGACATCCCTCTACGACGCCCCGAATTTTTTATACGTATTTTTCTGAAAAACCTCGTAAAGTTAGATTATCCGATTCAGAATATTTTTCCCATCAGATGGGACGATATTGCCCGGACTATTGATGAAATGATATGAAATTTCAGCAACAATCGATGCAAATTTTCTAAAATGAATCCAACTTACTTCTTCTTGCATATGCCAGCATGATCAACTGATTGACACAGCTGACTTGCTCATATATCAAATACGGACATTTCCTGATTATATACTGCCTATCTAACTCCAGCGTTTTTTGGTTCAACGGTATTCTACTAAGGTGTGCGTGGATTATTGCCCTTGCCTTTATACTGTACAAGTAACATAGGGGGCGTTCTTTGTTTTTTTCTCCTAAATTGGGTAGTTGCTTGATCAGCTAGAAGATAATGAAATATAAAATTTATCTTTTATAGCTCATCACTAAGCTTGATTATTTTGGCTTCTCTATTCATTTAATACAGGATTTTTTTCATATTTAGGAAATAGAGGACAACATGTACAGTAGCGGACAAAAGTTTGGAAACATTCTTAGTAATTTTAAAAATTTTTATTCTTTATTACGGGCTATTTTTTTCTTATACAGTGTACTTATAGACTTGAGGATATAAATGACAATTTGTGTTTGCTGTGGTACTACAGACTAGCATTAAAATGCCTTCATATTATTTTATGGCCGAAAATGATATTTGATAGCATAGCCTTTAGCATTCAACACTGCCTGACATCTGCTGCTCATAGAAGACACCAAATATTTTTTACATAATCAAATAAATCATTCCAATTTTTAAAAGTTTTTCTTGTCAGTTGCCTTTTAACATGCTCCCAGAAATGTTCTATAGGGTTTAGGTCCGGGGATTGCGAAGGCCATGTAAGAACATAAACATTTTTTAGACTTAACCAGTCCTTTCGAATTTTGAGGTATGCTTGGGGTCATTATCTTGCTGGAATGTCCATCGTTAAGGCATTTCTTTTTCAACAAAAGGAAACTTGTGTTTACAAAGAATATCTTTGTAAAGTTTTTGATCCATTTTCCCAACAATTTTCACATTTGGACCCGTTCCAAAAATAGAAAAACAGCCGCAAACCATGATGTTGCCTTCATCGTGCTTATCTGTTGGCAACTGATACTACTTCGAAATCGTCCCTTTGTTTGTTTTTAGTCTTTGCGAAATGTCAACATTTCTGACACCCCTTCTAAAAAAATTCCATCACTTTGTCTCTTAACTCTTTTGAAAATTCTTTTACTTTTGTCATTCTGACACTGATGTTAATATTTACCGCTCGCTACAAAAACTGTGGTATTTAAAAAACGCGTGTTTTTATTTTTAGAGAATTTGAATATTGATAAGATAAACCTTGTATTAGTACGGGAGTCAAAGGTAGACTTTAATATTCATATTACCTGATCCTTCACAATTTTAATTTAAGTTTATGAAATAGTTCGTTATAATGTTAATATTTGTTTACAAACTTTTGTCCGCTACTGCATGTTATAATGGTTTCGTGTCTAACAGTTATATAGCAACTTCAGGTGTTTCTCAAATCCTTAGCCCACTCTTCATCAATGACTTAGATTATACATTAAATTCAAGTAGATTATGCTATGAAGGGATCTCAGAATTTATTTATTGACGTTTTACTTCAATCTACACTGGATAATATAAATACGAGCCCGTTCCCACTTCAGTTGGCCCAACTATTGAAATCTTAGTTTTTTCTTATCAAACACAAATAATAAAAATGTGGCAGGGTGTTATAGGTTTAAAATATTAACAATGAATATTTTGATAATATATAGTAGAAAAAATGGGTAGAGGAAAGGTTATTAGTGAGAAAATTCGGTTACTGATAATTAAATTTTTTAATTCTGGGAAATCAAACTCAGAAATTGCAACTTTGTTAGACTTATCGCGGTACAGTGTGAGAAATATTGTTAGAAGATATAACGTAACTGGTGCAGTTAATATTAAGCCACGATATGTGAAAAAAAATGAATATCACAAATGCCGAGCATTAAGAAGAATAATCGTGAAAAACAGGCGTGCCAATTATTTACAATTAAGTGCTCTGTAGAGTGACGCTGTTGGAAGGAGAATTTCGAGGTCCACAACTCATAGAGAGGCCCACAAACTGGGATTTAGCACTTGCAAGGTAAGTTTTCTTATAAAAAAAAGTGAAGTAAAAACCCTAAAGTTGCACAAATTGTTTATAGGCCAAAGAAAAGTCACTATTAACTCCACTGCAAAAGAAAAATCGGCTTAGACGGGCTAAAGAACATAGACAATGGACACCTCAACAATGGTGTGCAATACGATGGAGTGATGAGGCCCGATTCGAAGTTTGTGTTGGTGACAGTCGCAGTAGAGTTATTCGCAAACAAAAAGAAGCATGTTGACTGTCTGAAGAGAGAAGTGAAATTTCCAGCATCCATTATGGTCTGGGGCAGTATGTCATCAAAAGGAGTAGGAAAACTTCATTTTATTGATGGAAATGTGGATACAAACAAATATTTGGCAATTTTAGAAGAATCGCTTTTACCAGTGATGGAAGAATGTTTGACATCCGGCCAAGATTTTGTGTTTCAGCAAGATGGTGCAGCGTGCCATACCTCAAAAAAGGCTATAAAATGGATGGAAGAAAATAATGTACCACTTTTGAAATGGGTTTCTAGCAGTCCAGATCTGTCACCTATTGAAACTTTGTGGCACGAAATGAAAAAGGTTCTACGACAACATCCTGCTCGTACAATCACCGAACTGAGACAAAAGCTTCAAGAAATATGGGATTGTTTTACACCAAATTTTTGCCAAAACTTGGTTAACACTATGCCCCAAAGAATTTCAGACGTAATAAAAAATAAAGGTGATGTTACCCAATGGTAGTCTTTCAATTGTTGCTTTGTTAACTTCGCGCATTTATTCGCACATTGTTTATTTGTTCAGATGTTCTATTAGTTATAGGTCTAAGTGATTTCAAATATGTATTTTTTAGGACTAGAGTGTATCTAAAATGTTTTTGAGAAAATAAATTGTTTTAGAAGTTTCGTCATGTTTAGTTTATAAAGGCATATTTTGGTAAAAATCTTGAAGTGGGCCAACTGAAGTGGGAATGGGCTCGTATATGGTGCGAGATCAACAAGAATTTTTTCAATGTCGCTAAGTGTAAGACGGTGACATTTTTCAGAAGAAAAACTGTGTTTTCTTTTTATTTCAGCATCCAAGGAGTAAAATTAAATCGTCAACACAGTGTCGTGCAGTTGAAAATTTTTATATGGAAATAAACTTCATTCAACATGACAATCGAATAGTTTCTGAAGCTTCCAAAAATATGGATTTATTGTGAGAAAGTACAATATCCTGACATTGAAGTCTGTTTTTTTCATATGTAAGATCAAAGTTGGAATACCGTCATAATTTGGAATCCATATTACAGACGTCACGTTGAAAGGTTGTAAAATGTTCAAAGACAGTTTTTGAGACACTTATCAATTAAAATACCTATTTTTTTATTGATTTGATATTTCATATTTATCTATTTTCCAAACACCAATTGCTTTGAACTTATTTGCTAAGAACATCAATGTTGTGATACGTAACAGTTTTTCATAAAAATCTAAACTTGTAAATATATTTTTCGGAAATACTGGTAAAGAAATGTAGTAAAATATTTCACTTACCGTCGGTATTTCGTAGTTGTCAGTCTCTCGTTCGACAATTTCAGAATTCCTCTTTTTGTCAAACTCCAAACTGGCAGCTAGTATCATGATGACCCTCTTCAAAGCCATGTTTGGGGTTTTGTTGAAGAAATAAAAATACAATTGGGTAGTGTCCAGCAATACTTGATCTCCAGTGAATTTAATGCTTCTGTACCACCAAGTACCAACCTACAATTAAAAATTGAGAATTTGAAACGTGAAAGGATGTCAGAGATGTTATAATATGATAATAAAATTCCTATAAAAATTAATCTGTTTAAGACATTAAAATTTTGTGGTTTCATATTGAGCCGCCATCTCACGTTCAAGTAAAATAGAAGGAAAATCCCAATATGAATCTCCATTGAAATTTTTCTTGTATGATAAAAATCTGTTCATAAAAAGTTGGCTGGTCACCGAATGACTTTATGCCCAAATTGGTTGGAAACTGGACCACTTTCAAGATCCACATCATAATTAGAAAAAAAATTAAGTCAATAGGACCACGGATGATATCAAAATTAAGAAACGTTTAAATTTTTCAAGGTTTTTTTTGTAACATTGTGATGAAATATTGAGTTCCATATTACATTAATTCAAAAATGGCAGAGACGCCAAAACGAAAACCTTGTTTCTTTCAAGTAACTTAAGTTGATTTGATGTTCAATAAAAATCGTTCAACTAAAATTGACGCGTGATATGGCGGCTAAAAAACAACTATAAACTAATTTTACATTAAGCCAGAGTTTGCTGGGGACTGAGATTAGGAAAAATTTGAACACCACACTGACAATTCTCTTTTGACAGTAAACTAAATCGTATAATCTCTCTGTCAGGTTCTAAAAGCTAATCAACTAAAGTTACAGGTTTTTCATGCATTTATAAATCACACTTTACACTGGCGATTTTTTCAATAATGAAAACAGAAGATATTTGTAAAACCTACCTAATTAGCTTTTGTGACTCTACGCGGGAGAATGCACGATTTAGTTTAGCACCAATGGAGAATTGACAGTTTGAAATCCTAACATCACAGCAGCCAGGATAAAACATGATGGAGTTTCCAGTTTGTCAGAAATAAACTAGCTCTAATGCATAATTCACAAACTCCTAGGATATTCACAAGGTGTAAATGTTATGGTAGTCATAATTGAAAAGGGTAATAGGGGGAGAGGGGTTGGTCAAAGTAAGTCAAAAAGTTCATATGACCCATGGTGCTAAAGTCAATAGATTTTTGTTTAAATGGCTTTATAGTTTACAACTTTAAGCGCTTTATATCGACCACAATCTTACTAATTTTTATAATCTAATCTAAAACGTTTTTAAATTGGGTAATTAACAAATAAAAGGCATTAAGTTTCTCTAAGTTAAGCCAAAATTTGTGGTCAGTAAGTAAGTTTCATTAAATTAAATACTTAAAACACACATGACAACAGCGCGTCGATCTTTCATCACTCTTATCGAACCGGCAATCGATCGCAAACGGTAACAGTCGTTAGTTATTGTTCGCGTACGACGTCGTGTTTATTGAAACTTGCGCTAATGTAAACACAAACTTCGTTCTATAGGATCAAACGGAACGCGCGATAACGTAAACAATGTGTACGCTCGATAACGTAAACAACTCTCGGCGCACGGAAACAGCGCGACGGTAAAATGCTGAAGCCTCGATGAGGGGATTCACCTCTGCGATAAAATACGACAAACTCGAACAGTCGTATGATCGTTTAGGATACGTTTATACGTACGTATTTATTTCATTTTTGAAGTGAATACATTGCACGCGTTAATATATTTTACGACTATGGCATCCACATCCTATAAAAGAAAGTGTTTAAAGTTGAGTGAGAAAGTGAAAATCATAGACGAAGTTGCACTAGGTGCGGGAGTGACACAGTTAGCAAAAAAATATGGAGTATCGAAAGCAACAATCTGTAAAATTAAGCGTATGAAAACTCAAATTTTACAAAGAACGTGCAATACATTTGGAGGTCCGGGAAAAAGAAAAACTTTAAAAAATGCGAAGGCACCTAAAATGGTAAATTCCCTGTATAAGTGGTTTTTAAAACAACGGGAAAATCATGTCCCAGTTAGTGGCGACGTACTTAAACAGAGAGCGAGACTGATAAATGAAAAACTGAAAGAAACTGAAAATTTCGTAGCTAGTGATGGCTGGCTATAACGATTCAAAACAAGATATGGAATTCGACTGCTGTCTATATCTGGTGAAAAATTATCAGCACAACCACAATTAGTGCAACCATTCAAAGAAAAATTGATGAAAACAATTACCGAGCTAGATTTAAGAATGGAACAAATTTACAAAGCAGATGAAAGTGGCCTTTATTGGAAAATGTTACCAGAGAAAACCTATGCTACATCATTTGAAAAATCTGCCCCGGGAAGAAAGCCGGAGAAACAACGAATAACGTTTCTAGCCTGCACTAATGCTAATGGTTCACACAAAATAAAGCCACTGGTAATGGGGAAAGCAAAAAATCCGCGCTCATTTAAAAATGTTAATATCCCTGTTGATTATGACTGTTCATAAACCGCTTGGATGACTAGCAGTATATTCCTGAAATGGTTCCACAGGTGCTTTGTCCCTCAGGTATGACAATCAATTATCACAAATGCTCTATTCATAATTTGAAGATGTGTTTTCAATTTGTAGGTAAAAGGTTTCCTAAAACAACAGAAGCTTCCAATAAAAGCGTTGTTGCTATTGGATAATGCACCAAGTCATCCTCCCGAGCAACAACTGAGGAGCAGGGATGGGTCAATTTTCGTCATGTACATGCCGCCCAACGTAACACCGTTAATTCAACCGATGGACCAGAATATAATAAGACTCACCAAACTATACTATAGGAAGTTTCTACTTTCGTCTGTCTTATCAAAGAATCCTGAAAACTTATCTGAGGCTTTAAAAAAAGTAACATTACAAGAAGCTGTTTTAGATTTACATATGGCCTGGAATGAACTTAACCAGCAAACTATTCAAAAATGTTGGAACAATCTCTTTTGTACCAATAATGAAGATGATGAAGAAGACGATGTCCCCTTAAGCGTAATTAGAGAACGTTTGCGATCCAATAATGATAATGTTATTAGTGTGTCATTGGATGTTGTTGATTTATTGAAAACAGTGAATCCCAACATTGTACTCCTGCTGATATTAATTTATGGAACGAAGATAAGCAGACGAATGATGCTGATAAGGAGGAGGATATGGACAGTGAGGATGCTGAGAACGATCCCATTGAAGTCAGAAGTGTAGTGACTGACGCGCAAGCTATACAAGTTTTTAACCAAGCTTTAGATTGGGCTGAAAGAAAAGAAGTTTCATACACGGATATTTTAGTTCTTCGTAAATTACGGGCGCAAATTTACGCGGAAAAAATTTTTTAATTATTTTTCTTCTAATTAAAAAAATACTTATCGCTGTTAGAATATTTGTTTATTTTGTTATAAATAGTATGTATTAAACGTTTCTTTTAATAAATCAAATATTATATAAATCACGTTCGCTAATATAAACATTTCGATAATGTGAACCACACTTGGATTAAATTAGTTTACATTATCCAGCGTCTGCTCGTGAAAATCAATGCAGATATCAGCACTCGGGAATTAGGCCGCCGCGTAGGACTATCGCATACCATAGTCCATAGAATCCTACGGGAAAATTTGCTTTATCCCTACCATGTACAACGAGTGCAGGCCTTGTTACCAGAAGACTATCCTCGCAGACCAACATTCTGTCACTGGTTTTTGCACAAAAACATTGAAAATCCGGATTTGTTTAAAAACATTCTAGCGACGGACGAATGTACTTTAACGCGAGACGGGATATTAAATTTCCATAATACTCACACGTGGGCCCAAGAAAATCCTCATACCATTCGTGAAGGTCATTTCTAACGTTTTAAAATAAATATTTGGGCGGGTATTCTTGACGATCAGGTAATTAGCCCTTTCGAGTTACCCCCACAGTTGTCAGAAGGATACCTTAGCTTTCTAGCCAATAACCTACCAGAACTTTTGGAACAGACCTTAGACAACATGCCATTACAATGGAGACAGAATTTGTGATTTCTTCATGCCCCTGCAGCACCACAAATTTTTAGAGGCGAAATGCTCCTGATCCTCGAAAATGGCCAGCAAGATCTGCTGACCTCAATCCGATGGATTTCGGGTACTGGGGAGAACTTAAAGGGACGGTTTATAGGGCTGGTCCAATAACAACTGAAGCACAACTTTGCGAAAACATTTTTAATGCGGCTGAAATAATAAATGGACAACTTCGACGACCAACAGTAAAAGGAAACTGGGTTCATCGTAATGAAACTTGTGTGGAAAGTGGAGGACGACATTTTGAACACCTTTAAATACAAAAAAAGTGCAGTGTGGGTGTTAAAAAGAAAAACAATGTATGTATAAAAATTGTGTTCCCTATTTATAAGTGGATTTTTTTAATACGTTCAATAAACTTTCACACATCAGGTGAAGCGCTGAGACAGTTAGTGGTAAGTCCGTTTTTTTTTTAATTGTTTGCATTTTACGAGTACATTATCAAATAATGAAATAGTACCTAAGAGCCAAAAATAACAAACTCCATGTTTATTTACACTGTATTTTATTTTACTTTAAAGTCTCTTTTCTCTAAAAAAAAACGCCGTTTTGACCCCCATGTTATATGAAACTTCTTGTTTCTTTTAACCCCATCATCACCCATTTAAATAATGACTATCATAACGTTTACACCCTGTATATTCAACTCACCACAATGGGCAAGGCCACCATGAAAACCAATGCATACAGTCCCAACACCCAGACACTGTTCTCCTTTTCCACAATCCATGAAGGCAGTGCAATCCCGAAACTCATCGCCCCCGGTCCGTCCGGGTTCCCATACTTCTCCCAATTCTTCCTTGCTTCTTCGTCTGTCAGAGCCTGGTAGGCCTTCGACAGTTTCATGAATTCCTTTTCATTACCAGTGTCTTTGTCTGGATGAAGGATGAGGGACAGCCTCCTGTATGCTTTTTTGATTTCAGCTTGGCTTGAGCCCATTGAGATCCCCAGAATCTCGTACGGGTCAAAGTTGGCCATTTCATAGTCAAATTGTGATACCTGCAACAACAGACGCATCATTTGATATTCACCATCTCAATAGGCGAGCTTGGAAAGTACCACCCGAATGCTAATGAAGATACCACTATAACCATTCATATTATCCAAGATTCTCAATGCTGTATTTGGACATTTTTATCGTCACAACCACATTTTCGAGTAACATCACTTTAATCTCAAAGAATATTCATATAAAATGATATCAAGTGACTAAAAAAAATCACCCCTGAACCTCCATCATAATGATTTCTAAGATTTTGTATATCTAGAATTTCTCTGCAATCAAAAAGAAAATCCCATAACCTGAGGCAATAGTCTAAGGAGTGGCAACACTGGCACCTAAAGATGGTGGTGGTCATCCTTATATATTGCAAGTATAATTAGCAGCACCACCTTTCTACCAAATTGGATCTATTTTGGTGAAATACGTTAATCAACTCTTGTCTCCTCCTGTCAAGGGATAAAGATTTTTAGATATGGAAAAGGTGGTGGCTGTGATGAGACAAAAACAAAATACCATGCGTTTTATTTTCTGAAAAACATGAAATCATAATTTCTACACTTAGAAAAAACTGTATTTGTTTTTTTTTTTATCTTGGTATATATGTGGATAGTAAGCTACTGTTTCAAGAACATTATGACTGCATTATTTCAAAAATATTGAAAAAGATAAATTACTTCTATAGAGCTTCCCATAATCTTAGTATGCATTCCAAAAAAATTCTGCATAACACTATAATTCTTCCCCATTTTTTATATTGTTCAACTATCTTGTTTACAGCAAATGAAAACATATTTTCAAAATTACAAATTCTACAAAATAAAGCTATGAGAATCATTTTAAATAGAAACAAATATGCTAGGATTAAGTCTATTTTAGAAGAACTGCAGTGGTTGGATGTGAAAAATTTCATATTCATATTATTTAGTTCTTGTTTTCATATCAACAAATTAAAAAATCATTTATTACCACCACATTTACAGAACTTCACAAAATTAAATAGTCATTATCATAACTACGAAACTATGTTGGATGAGAAAAATTTCATATATTATTTAGTTCTTGTTTTCATATCAACAAATTAAAAAATCGTTTATTACCACCACATTTAGAGAACTTCTCAAAATTAAATAGTCATTATCATAACTACGAAACTAAAGGCAGTATAGATTTTCATCTGCAAAATTGTAATATTAGCATAACCGCTAAATCTATATTTCAAAAGGGAGTATTTGATTTTAATAAATTGAATAATGATATTAAACAGAGTTCGAATTTAAAAATGTTTAAGGTGAAATTAAAAAATCACTTTATGAATAATCAAAAAACATGGTGAGGTAAGTTTAATTTTAACAGACAAAAATGTAAAATTACAGGAAATGACATTATAGCATAAACCTTCAACAACAACAACAACCTATAAACAGGGCCATATTTACTCGAGTGCCAAAAGGGCCATGGCTTTTGCTCTTTTTTCATTCTTTTATGGGGTGGCAAACCTTAAAGAAGCTACTGCCTAAAGCTAGGAAATGCCTCATTTTTCAAGTCAAATATGCAATTCTGTTTCTTCAATCCACCTACTAGTATACTTGGAGCCCAATATTTTAAAAAAATGTAATACAATACCTTATATGCTAGGAAAAACAGTAACAGCCATCCTGAGACAATGATGGCCTTGACAAAAAATTGTCTTGTTTGTTTCCAAGGATCCTCCCGTTTCATATATTCTCTTTTGCTCAAACACCCTGGACAAGTGCATTCCTTACCATCCTCTTTAGGATCTGAAATGATTTCACATTAAATTATATGAAAATCAATAAGCAAAATGTGAGAGGTATTGATTAATCAATAACAACAAAAATGTGAACATTAAGATGAGGAGATATCTACATATTCATATAAGCAACGATGCATTAATCAGAATTTGACAACTCATTCGTTGAGCTCAGTTCAAAACCACTTCAGACCACACATGTTTCTCTATTAGCTGCGAGAAACTAGCAGATCAGACGGAAAATCTTTCAATCTAATAACACTGAATTGTAATTCAAAATTACTTATATGAAGATAAAAGAAAATTATTTTGCCAGGTGAATGTGATCTATTTTTGGTTGCATCAAGTTTAACACTACATGGAAATATCATAAATGCGGAAAATGGCGCCGTCAGAAAATATTTTCACAAAATACCCAATAAAATCAATCAAAAAAACATAAAGGATGATTAAAATAAATCAAATTAACCATTTTTTGTTTAATTTATTGGGAATGTAATTCGTATTGGGTGAGCCTATATCAGCAATGTATGTCTATACATCAGCTTAAGTCTATGTCATTTTAAATGTTGTCTATTTTAGTATCTGGAAGATATAATAAATTGTACTGTGTACAAGTGTACAGGTAGATTGTTGAAATATGTAATGGTCTAATTTGTCATTAATACCAAGAACAATGCAAGTGTATTGCAAGAAATTTTTTCTACATGATGTGTATGCTGATATTCATAAAGCAATATCAGTTGATACCTAGTATCAACCCTTTATTTTGAATTCGCTTGAGTTTAATTTGGAATCTAATCTTCACCAAGTTCACGATCATTGAAATACCTCAGTTAATCAATTTGTAGTTTTTGATTTGCTTAAATGAGAGTAAAAATTGATCAATATAAATGTTTGATATTCATCTATATATTGGATTCTACTTGTCATTGCTTCTCAAGGCAAGCCTGAACATCTTTAAATCAGTATGTTGAATAAATAACTATTGATGTTTCTGTGTGTACACCAGCCAGTACTATAAAGCTAATTCAATCAGTAATTCTTTTATAATGGAATATTACAAAAGAGATCTGCAATACGGATCTTATATATAAGTTAACTAAGCTATTTGACAACTTTTTTAATTTCAGCTACAGTCTCACACCCACTACTTATAAAAAATACTGGAAGGACAGAGACTTGACATTCAACACTAAAATTGTTGTCTAATTGACTTCTGTACCAAAATTGTCACTTGGTCAAGCCCTTCATAATTATTTTGCAAAGCCCAAAAACTATCAATATTAAGAAATGTGTGTGAGTCATCAGGATATCTTTTCATAAAGCAATGTAAATTTACATCTATGAGAAATGTAAATATTGTATTTTTATATATAGTGTTTATATATATTTGAGTTAAGAGTTTATTATGTACTATAAAATTTGTTAATATATACTTAAATAATTCATATACATAAAACCCTTAATTTTGAGCACATACAGCTATTAAGTTAGGTAGGTGCTTTATGATAATGCACTAATAATTATTTAAATAGAAACAGGAGAACCCTAATATACACAATCAATAAAAATAGTAAGCACATAGCAAAATATATGTATGAAAAATATGTTATAACCACCTCATAAAAATTCTCAAATAAATGAACTATGAACTATAAAAAAGTTGGCATTTTGTGCTGTCTTATGTTGAAAGAGCTTATTCTCTAAAGAGAGTAGAGTTGCTCAGCTGTTGTTTGTTGTCTACTGAGGCATCATGCAAAAGAGTTGCCAAATAGCATAAAGCAGCTGTCTATGGTTGATCGCTGGACAAACTAAAGCTATACTACTCTAGTTTAATATATGTAGGCACTTTCTTGTTATTTGCAAATGGCCTTTCCCACAAACAAATAAGGAGCATACATACACAGAAAAATGAAATGCCAAATGGATGTCAATGAAGGAATTATGTGCAGAAATAAGTCAGCTGGAAACAGTAGCTTTCCTGATATGAAAGCATTTATTTTAGATTCCAGGCTGAACATCACAGTGTTAGGAGTGGTGAGGAGTTTCGATTGTTAAAGGTTTCTCCTGTTCATAATTGGGCAAACATTAAAACACTAATTGGGTATCTTTATGATCATTTAGCCAAGAGTCTGTGGACATATAATTCTGTGCAATATGTTCATACAAAACGTAGTAAAATCAACTCCTAATCGAGAAAATCTTGAATTTTAATACAATAAATAAACGCAATTTGAAAAATATGGGTATTTTCACAACATACATTACTGTAGCTGATAGCACAATGGGTATCAAACGTAAAAAGATAAGAAAAAATGGAAAAACCATTTAAGTGTCATCCTAATTAACATAATGATTAGAAAAAACATATACACGTACCCTTTTTCTTCTTCTTCGGCCAATAATAGAAGGTTGCTGGAATCAAAATAAGGGCTAAAAATGACAACAGGAAGTAAAAGAACGTTCCACCGCTTTCATCGTATTGGAATTTTTGACCCATTTTGGGAATTTAGCTAACGAAATTAAATAAATGATGAAACGTGTCAAAATGTTCTCAGACTGCCATTTTCGTTTCAAAATTTACAGTTAGGTTAGAATTGGTTACATGTAAATTCCGACAGAGGGCTATACGTCAAGAGACAAGAATTTAAAAATCCCGCGTTTACACAGCGGAAATAGGTAACGCTACAGTACTGAAAATTTAATTTTACTGGTGCCAAGCTTATGAATAATTCTACTATTTACTGAAATCATCGCCATCCGAGATGGCGCTCTTTAATGATGTTATTGTTCCAATATATACTTCAAGCACATAAGTCTTTTCACTGGCCACAGTAAAACTACAGGAATTACTTTAGTACATCCATCTCACATACATCTGCAGTCGACCTCCATATTCAACGCTTGTTTGTCTGAGGGCAGTATCATTAGTCGTTCCTAGTTCTCCTTGTCCTTCAGAAAGCGCTCTATCTTGAGGTTATGTTACAAATATCTATTTGCATCAAATTCTTCATGCTTTTGATTTTCATCATCTGCTTTATCAGCCTGAAATTTCCTACAACTCAAAATGAAAACATAATTAGGGGAGCACTGTCGCTGACACGGAACAGTAGAAATCTAGAAATACCGCAACCTTTCTGAATGAGAGAAAAGACTGAAAATCAAGGAGGACACAAAGGCGTCCTATAATATTGTAGGAACGACTAACGATACAGCTCTTTAGAGCCTCCTTGATTTTTTACAGTCTATATCTCCTTTAGAAAGATGGGATTTCTAGGCTTATTTTGGTCTTCATCTTTGGATTTCTTCAAGGTCATTGAATATGTTTCGCGGTCAATGGACAAATTGATGGATTATGTGACAGTGGATAATTCTGCCAACCACACAAGAAATTCTTGCTAGGAACGTGCCAGAAACATGTTGAGTTTTTAAACAAAAATCATAGTGTTGATTCCTTAGTAGCCTTCCACCAGTTACGTGTCAGGATGGAACTATTGTATTCGACTCAAAGGCCAAGGCGGAAGTGCTAGCCAAGATCTTTGCAGTCAACTTCACCATGGTCATCCCCCCAACGTCCAAGTGCCGTCAATTCAAAGGGTAAGACGAGTGCTCTTGTCGCTCAACATCAACAAAGCTTCTGGTCCGGACTTGATCCCTTCCATTGTACTGAAGAGGTGTGCAGCGGAGCTTGCTCCAGTTCTTTCGCGTCTCTTCCAGATATCTTATGAATCCGGCACCTTCCCAGAATACTGGAAATTTGCTCATGTCCAACCCATCCCAAAAAAAGGATCCAAGACCGACACTTACAACTACAGGCCTATAGCTCTGCTTTCTGTTATAAGTAAGGTGATGGAGAGGTGCATAAATCGCGAGCTTCTGGACTACCTCGAATGCCACAGCTTGATTAGCGACAAGCAGTATGGTTTCCGGCACCAACGATCCACAGGGGACCTCCTAGCTTACATCACGCCGTTTTGGAGTAAACTCATCCAGTCTTATGGTGAGGCTCTTGGCATCACGAAAGCGTTCGATGCTGTGGCATGCTGTCGTCTTAAGCAAACTTCCATCCTATGGCCTCACATAAAAGCTTTGCAGATGGGTGGCTGACTTTATCTCTGGCCGCAAGATATGCGTCGTAATTGCCGGGATCGGTCTTGGCTCAGACACTGTTACTCTTACATACCAACGACCTCCTTTCCTGCACGATCAACCCAATCCACAGCTTCACTGATGACAGCACTGTACATGCAGGAATTCAGAGTGACAAACCGATCTCTGCCGCTGAGCTGGAAAAAAGAAGACTAGCGACGACTTTCTCTCTGACAAGAGACCTGCAGGTTATCACTGCTTGGGTACGCAACAATCTTGTACAGTTCAATGCTCCCAAAACACAGTACTGTACTTTGACGAACAAAAAGCGTCCTACCGCTCATCCGGTTTCGATGGAAGGCCGAGTTCTGTCAAAGAGTCATTCATTTCGGCATGTCGGAGTCCAGATCATCGAGGACCTCATCTGGCACGAACACATCTCGTCAATAGCTGCAGCTGCTGGGAAAAAGCTAGGCTATTTGTTTAGGGCTAAGAAGTACTTTTTTCCGCATGACCTTCTCACTCAATACAAGGCCCAGGTAAGGCCTAGCCTCGAGTATTGCTCACACGTTTGGGGTGCTGCCGCCCCGACTACATTATCCATGCTCGATGCTGTCCAGAGGAGGGCGGTCCGACTGATCGATGACTCTTGTCTAACAGACAGTCTCGGGACTCTTTCGCACCGGCGGGCCGTCGGCGATCTAGCTCTTTTCTACCGCTAAACTAACGGGCTTTGCTCCTCAGAGCTCTCTTCCATGATGTCGCCGCGAGATGTGCCTGCCAGACAGACCCGTCTGACTTTGGCGTCCCATCGTAACCGCCTCGAACTTCGTCCATCCAGAACTGGCCGATACGACCGCTCCCTCTTCTACTAACCTAAGACAGTTCAAAAATCGTATTAACAAAATTTCTTTGCTATCATCATAGCAGCCGCGGTGTTCCGGCATTTAGGCTTCTGCCTGCGCGGCTGCTTCGATATTAAAAACATATTCTATCAACGAAGTTCTTGAATACAATGGAAAGGGAAAAAAGGGTTGACACCATGTAATTTGACGTCAAACTTGGCAGAAAGTAGACCAAGTTAATAATTCATCAAGATATCTGTGGACTTACTGTCAATGTAAAAATGTAAAACGCCTATTATAGATTCTGGACCAACCTGCATGAGATATATTTCTTACACTTGGCAACGTCGCATAAAGCGTATAGTGACTTTTCGATTCCAAAATGGCACACTCAACAACTTCCTTTTGTGTGGCGGACGCACCGTTCGCTCCATGTTTTGTGCTAAGTGAAAGAAACTTTAGATTTTAGGAAACATGGTGAGTAAGTAGCGATTTTTATTCTCAATTAAGATTCTTCATTAGTAAAGTAACGATTGTAAAATATTTTTAGTACTTTCTATGTTGTACTTTTCGTAATAAATGAATAAATTGGGTATGCACCACGTGTAATGAAGTCGCATCGTATGGAATAGCCACATACTTCTCCCGAGTTTTATTTGCTTCTTACAAATTCTAGGTACGTTTCTTATAATTCTGTTTCTATTACATATTTCTGAATAGATGAATTTCTGTAATACATACATTTTTTATGAAATGTGGGACTTGACTACTGTGAGGCATATCCACCCTTCAATCAGTATTCAGCAATTTTTTTTTAATATTATACTCTGAAATCTGAACGATTATATACTGTTTACGAATATATTTCCACGTTTGAACCCTACCAAAAAAAACGTGAAAATCTCAGTTCTGCATGTTCGCCGAGATATAGGTTATGTTCTGAAAGCATTTTTCACTTTCACAGTTTTCGTATTTTGCAGTCGCTGTCGTTAGCCCGCCCTTTGGTGAGCATATACAATGAAAAGTCCGAAGAGGTGAAAGGAAACGGCGTGGCTCTGCCAGCCGTTTTCAAGGCCCCAATCAGACCTGATGTAGTCAACTTCGTACATCAACAAGTCTCTATGAATCATCGTCAACCGTACTGCGTCAGTGATAAGGCTGGTGAGAATTAGTGCATAATTGAATTATATGTAAACTGCTTATCCATTATCCATCCAACTATGACATTTTCATCATGCTTGCCATGTGCCTTGCACTCCCTGTAAAGAGTCGGCAAAGCAAGTAATCATTTAATGATCACAGCTGTGATCACCCATTAATCATAATCGTATTCTACTCATAGCATAAGCAAGACGCAAGGCACACTTTTACTGTTTACTGTGTCCATTTAAAATTAACTCTACATAAACTGCTGTCTTGATTCGGGTCTAAAGGCTGTCGTTGGTTGGAATTTCTTCCTAATGTTTTGCTAGCACGAGTGGCAAGCTTCAGAGGTCCTTCCATCTCTAGACTAGACTTGTCTAGTCTACATCCAGTATCGGAAATAGAAGGACCTCTGAAGAAGCCTGCCGCTCGTGCTAGAGAGATGTTAGGAAGAAATTCCAACTGATGACGGCCTTTAGACCCGAATCAAGACGGCAGTTTATCAACTGGCTGCGAAAGCCTTAACCAGTTTGTCAACTCTACATAACTTTTTTACATGAAAAATTTTTCCCCAAAACATTGTATTTTTAGCTGTTCTTTCCATCATTATTTCCACCACCATCTATTTAGGGATAAAATTAAAAATTAATATACATATATGTATATTAATCAATCACAAAAACAAAAAAATGAAACAAACAACAGTAGCAAAATAAAAGGCGATTCCTAATAAGTATTGAAGTGCAAGACTCCAATATACGTGGGAAGTGGGCAGTAGTAACACACGGTTTCGGGGACTCACTTTACTCAACTTTACAACAAAAATAATCTTACAGATCAAACTCAACAGACGGATACATTCGACGGTTGCCGGCCGACTGCCGCGTCACTTTCGGTTCAAGGTGAACCACTTTCATCGGTCTTAAGGCTACGGTCAGTCCAGAAATTATTAAGGCTACGAAGATCACTCGCGCACTACATCACCCCCCTATTATATCTGAGGGATTACATTCCAGAAGATATAATACCAAACACTAACCTAATTAAACTAAACCTAATTTACAATTGGTCAGGGGTAGGGCAGCGCTTATACAATTTTAAGTTTCTAATGTTCTGAGGGCCTACATTGACACCTTCTATATTCTTTAACATATAAGAATTGGGTCCAACTATGCGCGACACCACATATGGCCCATCAAACCTCACAAATAACTTTCGGATTTCCGCATTGGCAGCGGAGGAAATTGGGTGAGTCTTCACTAAAACGGAATCCCCGACAGTAAAAGTGATAGCTTTATTCTTGTTTTCAAACATCTCCTTGCGTTTTCTAGCCTTGGACCGTAAATTGTTGGAAGCTAATTGGAGTGATGAGGTCCAATCCGGAGTGGGGGGATTACCAGGAGGATAATCAATCAGTTTAAAAATATCATTAGGCTCTGATTTTCCAAACATCAACATCGCAGGAACTTGTCCGGTACTTTCGTGGACAATATTATTTAGGCAGTGTTCAATACGTGGTAGAACACAAGCCCATTTGGTATGTTTGGTAGAACAGAAACACCTAAGCAGACGGCCAATCTCTCTATTCATGCGCTCTGTGGGATTACCCGATGGGAAATAAACGGAGGTGTAAATGGATTTTACACCCTTTTCCGCCAAACATTTTATATAGACCGCTGAATGGAATTGGGTTCCATTGTCTGATAACACCGCTTCTGGAGTTAGGATCTCAGAAAAATATCGCTCCAGCTTGTTAACAATACTTCGCGCCGTAGCTCTACGAAGAGCATAAAGTTTCGTAAACTTGGTAAAATTATCTACCACCACAAATAGCTGTGTAGCGCCTCCTCGCGACGGTGGCAGAGGACCCATTAAATCCACCGTGAGCAACTGTCCCGGTTTTTCAGGTAAAATGGCATTATAAGTGCCTTGTAACCCCTTTGAAATTTTAGTTTTCTGACAGAGCTCACAACTAGTAACGACTTGTCGGATATTTTTGGCCATTTTAGGCCAAAAGAAAAGTTCCCTCATATGGTGTAAGATTTTCTTGTATCCAAAATGCCCTAAATCAGCATGTTGTTGCTGTATTAGTGAAATAACGTATTCCTTCGGAATACATAATTTATATCCGGGGAACCCGCGAGACCCTCGTTTGAAAAGTACCCCCTTATAAACAACATACCACTTTCCTACATCAGTAATGTTTTCCTTATTAGCGTCTTTCTCCAGTTGTTTCACAATTCTCGAAATCCAGTCAGATTTTACTTGATCTACAGCTATACCCTTCATATTTTCCCTTAATAACCTATACTCATTACTTATTCTCAACATTGAAACCTCTACCCCTATCTGACGGTCCGGAACCTCAGGATCCTGTCTCCGGATCGGGTACCGCGAAAGCACATCAGCAAGTACATTATCTTTCCCCTTAATATATTCCACATCGAAATTATATTCCTGCATAAATAGTACCCACCTACTCAATCGTGGTGTTTTCAAGGAACACTGCATTAAGTAACTTAATGCTTTATGGTCTGTTCTAATGGTTAATTCATTCCCCAACACCAGGGTGCGCCACTGGATCAATGCAAACACTATCGCTAAACACTCCTTCTCCGTAACCGTGTAATTTAATTCGGGCCCCTTCAACGTTCTACTAGCAAATGCTAAAATATGTAACTCATCCCCCTCCCCTACTTGATAGAGAAAAGATCCTAGTCCATATCCAGAACTATCTGCTTGAATGTAGAATCTCTTTGCAAAATTCGGATGTGCTAATATAGTAACTTCCAGGAAAGCCCTTTTAATTTTTGTAAACGCGAACTCCTCAGAAGCTCCCCATTCCCACTTCACTGACTTGCGCAATAATTTTAACAAGGGTACAGTCAAATCTGCAAACTTATTACAAAATCTCCTGTCATAGTTGACCATCCCTAAAAAACTTCTCAACTCACGGATATTCCTAGGCCGAGGAAAATCCTGAATAGCCTTAATTCTCTCCGGATTCATGGCAATACCGGACGATGATATCACATGACCTAAAAACTCTACCTGGATGCGCGCAAATTTAGTTTTCCGCAATTTAATGGTCATATTAGCAGCCTTAATTTTCTCAAAAATGATGCCCAAATGACGTAAATGCTCTTCAGATGTCCTTGAAAAGACAAAAATGTCATCGACATAAACTAAGGTGAAATTCTCTACTTCTGCACCTAAAACTAACTTTAAACCCCTTATAAAACTGGCAACACTGGTTGAAAGGCCAAATGGTAGTACATTAAAAACATATGTTTGATTGTCAAACAGGAAACCCAAATATTTCCTATCATCTTTTCGCACTGGCACCTGCCAATATGACGCAGTCAAATCCAAAGTTGAAAGGTAACAGCTACCATCAAATTTGGTCAGTAAATCATCTGGGTTTGGTGGTAAAACATGATCTTTTACCATGCGAGTGTTGATATATCTGGCATCTAAGCATATGCGTACTGAGTTATCTTTTTTTATGACTGTGGTGAGAGGCGATACATATTCAGTTTGCTGTAAAGAAATTATGTCTAACTCTAACATTTCTAACAACTGACGCTGAGCTTCTACCCGATGAGACACTGCAATGGGGTATGAGGCCTTAAAAAATGGTGTGTTATCTCTCATTTTTATTTCATGATTATAAACTGGCATACGACCTGGAGTTTCAGAGAAAATACCCTCAAAATCCTTAACTAGTTTCAATAGTTCCGCTTTTTCCCTTTCATCAAACGATTCCGCCTTAGTAACCACTTCTTTTATCTCGAAATCTGTATAACGATGTCTATTCCTATCCTTCATTTGTCCTTCTTGTAGAAAATTAATCGATAACTGAGCCTCATCCCTTCTTTCCAACTGAATTCTCACCTTTAAACTTTTTTCATCAACAGCTAAAACTAAATCATCATAATCAAGTTTGACATGTTCCTTTAAAAACCAATCGCTTCCTAAAATAACCGAACGGTTCAAATGTGGCACCACTATGCAAGGGATTTCAAACACACACCCCCCAATTTCGATTTTCACTAAAACCTGCTGCTTAATTCGCTGTTGCTTTTTACCAACTGCCCCCGTAACTGAGAAATTTACCACCGGCAATACCAATATCCCATTTTCATCAGAATTTATTTTCTTGTAAAATTCATCAGATATCGCACAACATTGACTACCTGAGTCTAGTAATATGTTTACTTCTTCACCATAAACATTACCTTTCACAGTTGAGGAAATCATCTGGTGTCCTTCATCACCATCTCCACCATCCTCAATTTCACTCAATAAATCCTCTCCCACATCTATAAATCTGATAGCCCTATCCTGATCATTTCTGTTATTTTCTCCCTGAGCATCTTGCCTAAAATTTCGATTACCATTATGATTTGGTGGATTGTACCCCCCTCTCCCTTCATTTCTTCTATCACGACTAGTAGCATCAACCTCATCTAAATTTCTTAGAAATCCTTCAAGTTCCTCTATGGTTTTCATATTTTGAATTAAAACCGCCCTATGAATCTCTGGCTCTTGTGTAAAATGCTGTGACAAAAACCTCACTAACTCACTCTCAGAAATCTTGTCTGTCAAAAAACTGGCTAGTTTTGCCATCCGGAGAACATAATCTGCCCTGCTACCTGATCGAAATTTACCATACTTTATTTCATAGTACAATGCACGTTGTTCTTTAACCCCCCAGTACCTATCCATGAAAGCATCAATGAAACTCTGAAATGAGTCAAAAGAATCCTCCTTGATTTCCGCCCACTCAGCAGCCGAGCCCCTCAAACACCCTGTTACTAGTTTTAACCTTGCGGTTTCAGGCACCCCAGCCTCATCCAAGATATGCATAATTTTTCTTAAAAAGTTCATTGGATGCACTGGTCCATTAGGCACAAATGTCAAAGTGTGACCCCCCAGGTCCCTCCACAGACCAACATATTGCCTACTACCCCCAGATAAAGACGTCTGTAACCTTTTGAAATCATCTGCTAAGTTATTCACCATATTTTTTAACTCACTACACTGTGGTGACTCACTTTCATCCAAACTACCTAACAAACTGTTCTCCTCATTTACATTGGCTTTTGGTTTCTTCGGTGCCATTTTATCATTCATTTGAAAAGCGATTTCAATCTAAATACCTAACTCTACCCAATACACAAATAAAATACAGTACCTTGCACTATAGTTTTTTTTTTTTTTCTCTATGATACCTGGACCATAACTTTTTCTTCTTCTTTCCGCTCCAACTCTGCTTCTCCCAAACTTCCAGCTCACCTCCTAAGCACCTGGATCTCTCTGCTAACAGTGCCCAACTCTCCGCTTATTTCAAAACTCCTATGTCCAAGTTTAGTTCAAAGCGGCTGTTATACCTCAGCTGATCAAACATCAGCCATTTGTTTTCCACTGCTTTTCCTAGTCGTCAGATGGCAGCAGCGATCAGACACTTTCGATTTCGTTCTCAATGGCCGACCACGCTTTGCAAAACTCAAAATGATTTATCCTTCACTGGCAAATTCCCCAAAACACTACAGCCCTCACGTTGTGCGCCAAAATGAAGTGCAAGACTCCAATATACGTGGGAAGTGGGCAGTAGTAACACACGGTTTCGGGGACTCACTTTACTCAACTTTACAACAAAAATAATCTTACAGATCAAACTCAACAGACGGATACATTCGACGGTTGCCGGCCGACTGCCGCGTCACTTTCGGTTCAAGGTGAACCACTTTCATCGGTCTTAAGGCTACGGTCAGTCCAGAAATTATTAAGGCTACGAAGATCACTCGCGCACTACAGTATAAATAAAAAAATAACAGTATTAAGCTAAAAAATGATAAATTATAAATAATTATAAAAAATAAAAACAGTAGTAAAACAAAGACTAAGTCCATGTAATTATAAAGATCAAAAAATAACAAACAGCAGTAAAATAAAAAGCAATTCTAAGTGATTATAAAAACAAAGAATAAAAACAGTAAAACAAAAAAAAACAATTACATGTTGAAAAAGAAGCAATTCTAAGTGACAACTCAAAACAAAAAGTAAAAACAGTAGTAAAATGAAGAATAATTTCATTCCATCCAAATTGCTTTTTATTTTACTGTTTGTTATTACTTGTTTTATACTTAGTAAGAATTACTTTTAATTTTACTAGTGTTGTTTGTTTCCGTTTTTTTTTTCATGTTTCATTAATATAAATATGTAAATTTTCCACTTTTCATATTTTTCCCTAAATGCGAAGCCCAATCCGGCAAGCATCTCCCATATGTAACATATCCACAGACATCAGTGTCATATGGTAGATGGCGGTAAAAATAATGGGGGAAATAACTGCTAAAAAATACAGTGCTTTGGGAAAAATAAATTATGAAAAGTGTGCTTCATCCACACTTTTTATGATGTAAAATAATTTATCAGACTACCCTCTATAAGATTCAAGTGAAAAAATAGTGAAATCCGAAGTTCACCAGATCACAAGTTATCAGAAACAGTATATCTAGATTGTGTTATTCTTGATATTTCTGCCAATGTTTTTCTTTGCAACCTTCAAGATCTTTATTTCTTGATTCCTAGGTTTCTTACAATGGACTGATGTGTAAAATACCTTGAATTGAGACTCAATCAATAATTAATAAATACTACTAGAGAACAAAATAATTTTCCAGGCAAAACTAAAATAAACCCCAGTTTGTTCTCAAATGTTGAATGCTCAATGTCATTCACATGAAGTGCTTTCTTAAATCTCTCAATCAACAGTTTTCATTTAACAAAATATTTTGCAAAATTTTCCTTCCTAACGTATTTATTTTCCTTTTCTGCACAAAACAATGTCCACATTCATTCAAAAGCTATTTGATTGGGTGTTCCATAATTGTGCAAGAATAATCTGATAACTATAGGCGTTCCTTTCTGGTTTCAATATCAGGAAAGGGCAATGTTTATCATACACATTTTTACATGATTAATCATCTCAAAACTATTTTATATTGATCAATTTATCGAACTGTCAGGAGTAGAATGTCCCTTGTGCAGTTACATAAAACTTTGAACAGAGCATATTAATATGTCAATCATTTTATTATAGTGCCAAACTGTGTTGCAAAGATATGCAAATGAAACACCATTTTTTTAGTTAACTGTCTAATAAATGGGAACACACACACATCATTTTTGTTGCTATCAATTTCCAAAAAGCACTTGCCAAAATTTGTAAGGTCTTCTGAACCAGTCTGTCCCCTGAAATTGTGTTGACAACTGTCTGGCACAATAGTCCTGATGGAGCTACTTACCTGCAAGGCCTTAAGCAAGAGCAAAGTTCATCGGCCAGACAATGATAAATAGAGAATGTCAATCACTGAACAAGAATAACTTTAAACAATTGCATGACTTGAGCATATTGTAATGAAATGTTTTACTGTTCAAAGTCTAATTTATTACTGCTACACCAATTGTTATCTCTCGCAACTAATTTATAATAAATGTATGTTGACTGGACTATTATCCCATCTTAATACCGCGTGCGGTATTCACTGGCTCGACCGTGTCTCGACTGTGCCTAACATCTTTCGCCATCCGGTCGGGTATTTATTCCCATATTGACGAGTCGAGAACCATTCTGACGTTTTCCAGTCTCAGTCGTGAACTCACATGGAAGTGGGCTAGATGGCAGCAGGTGCTTCCAGACGGGTATCGATTATTCTTGAACCTTGCCAAGCATGCAAGCGCTCACGCACGGTCGCGTAACTGGTTGCCTAAGCATAAACTCTGCAAAACTGCTATGCTACAATAAAATTTGAAAGTAAGTTTTATCTTCTCTATTGAATAGGTCACCAAACATCCGCTGAATCCTGGGGCACTGGTCGTGCCGTCGCCCGTATTCCTCGTGTAAGGGGAGGCGGTACCCACCGATCTGGCCAGGGTGCGTTCGGTAACATGTGTAGGGGTGGACGAATGTTTGCCCCTACAAAGCCGTGGCGCCGCTGGCATAGGAAGGTGAACATTGGACAACGTAGGTATGATCATATTGAAGAGCTGTAGTTTACCATGAATCGTTAACTTTCTTTTCAGTTTGCAAAATGTTGTCCTCCATATTGTTCTGCAAGTTGTGATTGGTAAATTGGAAAAAATGATTTTACAAAAAAAATGGCATCAAGTGGGTTGGCACTTCCCATGCATTGCTGTTGGCGGTTTGGCCAGTTATCCCCTCTGATATCCATAAACGCGTTTGTTGAAAATATTTCTCTATCATTCTAAGTTTTTCTGAGAAATTTATATTGTGTGAAATCAGAGATGTTGAAATATAATTGTTAATCATTCATACCCTATAATTGATATTTTGAACCATAATAATCGATTTTGAATAAATGGATTTTTGCTAAACAGCACCATTTGTATCACAGATGCGAAAACTGTAACTGAATTGACAGTCACTCTAAATATCTTAATGTCATTCCATATTTTAGGTGCTCTATATCATAACTGCATTACCAATGTTGCACTTTTAATGTCCATATAATACTTATTTTATAGCTGTTGGTATGGAGGACACATTTTATTGAATGCTGTATCTATTTTAAGTACATGATGAGTTGCTTTTGGTCCGTGTTTATGAAGTACACATGATCTTACCCTCAAAAGCGCTGATTTTTCATCAAATTCCAGATTTGTGTTATCGGTTTTTTGCACATACGATGTATGGTTGTTCTTTCTCAACAGATATGCCTTGGCCTCTGCAGTAGCTGCTACTGGAGTTCCTGCATTGGTGATGAGCAAAGGTCATGTGGTTGATCAAATCCCAGAACTTCCACTTGTAGTCAATGACAAAGTGCAGGAGATGAACAAGACCAAGCAAGCTGTGCAATTTTTGAGGAGGATCAAAGCCTGGGCTGATATCCAGAAAGTAAGTTTTTCATGCGTGTTGAATCATCTGCTTTTTCTTCTCAAATTTGAAAAAATGAGCCTCTTTTACACTAAAGATAGCAGCCACAGTGAGTGGGTGTGTTTAACTGTTGTTTTTGTATTATTTTCTTTATAGTTCATGATGAATTGCTTTTGGTCCGTGTTTATGAAGTACCCTTGATTTTACTATCAAAAGCTCTGATGTTCCATTAAAGCTCTTTTTCTGTTTCCAGTATATGTTTTTTTTAACTGAAATACGTAATTTTGATCAAAGGTATACAAAAGTCAACGATTCCGTGCTGGCAAAGGAAAAATGCGTAACAGGAGACGTATCCAGCGTAGAGGACCGCTGATTGTCTACCACAAAGATCAAGGTAAAAACACGATGTTTTTTATTTGTATAGATGTTTGCTAGATGCTCAGTTATTGTGTTCCTATTAGCTTATTAATTCTTATCAGGTGAACTGGATAGAAACTGGCAATTTGGCGATCGAGAAACTGTATGAAACTTGTTATATGCACAATAGTAGTTCAGGCTTGTATTATCAATTATGAGTGTGTGCAGGAGTTGTGCAATAGAAAATTGTAGGTTGTAAAACTTCCATCTTGGCAGGCAATTGCTGGGAATGGTTTATAGCTTGCAGACACTTTTTCTTGAATATGCTTTTTATTAGTCTGTGACATGTTGTATAAACGTGACTTTAATGCAGAGAACACTGCTTAATGCTATTCGGACGTTAAGTGTGAGGCATTGCCAATCCACTGTTCTAGCAGTTGCTGTGGATATGACGTTTTGGCAAAGAAGATGTATAATAAGAGAAGATAGACAAGGTGAATAAAATTAAAAATATAGACTGGCCACTCCAATTGAAAGAGACACAATGACTTTTAACCACGCACAAGTGAGGATAGTGATTTTTCTTGGATGTCAAAATGAACGGTTGAGTGAGATTCCTATCTCACAAGCACTGAATTTAAAACATCAGAGTTCTGTGTTCTATGATAATAATAAAATAATAACACATTTATTTCAATGTTAAATAGCCACAGACAATAACTAATCAAAAGTTAAAAGGAAATGGTAGAGCAAAAATTATACAGTACATATTAAAAAACAGTTTTGCATGCAAATAACTCTTCCAAGCTATAAAAACACGTATCTGTTAGAACCTAAAATTTGCAACTAAAAGTTTGTCAAGGGAGGGAGTAAGGAATCTCATCTCACTTTGACTTGTGAGGTGATTTGAATTAAGGTATATGAGAAACTGGCCAAAATGAAAGCTACTATAGACCTCCAGTACTGCTTCAATTTACAATGACATGACCAGTGCAGGCGACCAGGAAACTTCAAAGACACTCCATTCAGTCTCTTCTCTTTTTATATCTCTTTTTTGATATAATGTATGTCAAGTTCTGTTTGTGAGATTCAATATTAACATTGTGGAAATTGGATGACTCACACTGACATCTTTGTTTGTGTTCATCAAAATTACCTTGATACATGCACGGTTGATGTCATGCTTATGATATTAATTTATAGGTGTGGAGGTGGCGTGCAATATAAAATTGTAGGTTATGTAACTTCCATCTTGGCATTCAGTTGTTGGGAATGGTTTATAACTTGCAATACACCCTTTTAATATCAGTGGTTTGGATCAGTTTAAGCTTCCGATTGATGATTGCTCGTTGCTCCATTATGCCTAGTTTGATCCCACTGCAAATAAAACTTTTCAGGAACTATGAACACCATCACGGCGTTGACGCCATTGTTCTTCGTATAATAATTATAGGTATGCCGTTCACCTGATAAGACCGATGCTAACGAGACGCTAAAAGCACGACGTTATAACATTGATACATGTCACTTGGTTTCCGCGGATTTAATTTTCCTCGGAACAAAATTGACCAACCATAAAGCGTTTTTGAAGCAATCGACCTGTTGAAATATCATCTGGTTCTTTCAAAATATCTCTCACAGTAGCGAAAAATGATACAACTTATGTAAAAAGGGCCTCTAATCCCAGTATTAAAGGAGACTTTTTATAAATCGTCTGGTGTAGATACAAAAACCTATCATTTCATTTAATCTGTAGATCCAATTTTATTCAAATCCGACCAATGACGAACACGTGTTTGTTACAAGAGAGAGTGCAGCAATTATTGACCATTTTATTGAAAAGAAGTGTCACTTTGAGAGGTTTCTCTCTTACTACTAGGTTATATAATAGAAAAAAAAGATTTTGTTTTTCGTGTTACGAGTTGATATGTTGAATGTTTTGTATTTGCGGAATATTTATTTAGCGTTAATTGTCAAATTTGTATAATCAATCACATTTTTTGTATTAATTTTCTGTAATTTTACATTCTTTTCTATTAAAATATCACTATGCATATTGGGTATTCATAGATTTTTTAATTTCACCTTAAAGATTTCTAAATTTGAAATACAGATTTGCTAGTTATTCTACCATTACAATTTTGTACAGATGAAAATCTAGCTGTAGTTATGATAATGACTATTTAATATTCTGAAGGTTTCTAAATGTGGTGTTATTTCACTTTGTATATGAAAATGAATTCTAAATAACGTACAACATTTTTACATTCAAACACTGTAGTTCTTCTAACATAGACTTAATCTTAGCATATTGTTTTTTATTTAAAATGCTTTATTTTTTACAATTTGTAATTTTTCATTTTGTAAACAAAATGGTTGAACAATATAAAAAATGGGGAAGAATCATTGTATTATTCACAATTTTTATACATACTGAGATTATGGGAAACTATAGAAATAATTTATCTCTTGGATTTTTTCAAATAATATGTTCATAATGACCTTGAAACAGCAGTTTAATATTCACATAATCGACTATTTCAATTTTGTCATCATTAATCATGAGCCTAATTGTTGTATAGAATATAAATAAAAATCTTCAATATAGTATACTTTAGGAAGCTCCACATCTACAGCTCATTAATATAAAATGTAAGAATACTACATATCTCACTTGTAACCAATCTAAAGTGTAACTTTAGGGTTGCTGTAATCAGTATATTGGTGAGTTGGAAATGTTGCTAAGATCATCTCTACTTGTATGTTTCATTGAGGAAAAGTCTTCATATTTTTAAAACAAAATCCTAAAATCAGAATGGCTAGTCCATTACAGTCAGATCGAAATCGCTAAAATATTGGTCCATAGATTAAATGAAAAATTAGATTTTTTTATTGAATATGGGGATTACAGGCACTTTCTCAAATTGCATAAACTTTTCGCTAGTTTGAGGTGTATTTTAGAAGTAATCTACAATATTTATTAGATCCTATACTTCAAGGCATTTTATGATGTGAATTCTTATCAGGAATTTATTTTTTTAATTTATTTTTCATTGTGTCTGAAATTTAAAATTGAATTAAACGAGTTGTGCGCGACATATGATGGAAACCTTGATTGCGTATTAACCATTACGTTGTAAAAATTACATCATTCAAATGGCCTCCGCGGCTTCGTTTACAGGACTCGATCCGAGAGGTCCAATTTTGTAAAACTCCGCCGCATAAGTCGTGCTGGGTCTCGCCAATGGTTTGAATGATGTTCTCTACTTGGTGAGTTGTTAGTTTGTTGCCATCAACCAGCGACTTAACTAACCTCAGAAAATAAGTCTAAAGGTGTTAAGTCGCACGATCTTGGTGGCCATTACACATCGCCTCTTCTGGAAATAACGTGTCCTGGAAACTTTTCTTGCAACAACTGCAATGTAATGGCCGATGTGTGACACGTTGCGTCGTCTTGTTGGAACCACATGTCGTTCAGGTCCATAGCATCCAATTGGGGCCATAAAAAGGCAGTAATCATGGCGCTGGTGACAGTCACCGTTTTGCCATTCTCGTTTCGGACGTCGCCTGACCAAAACCCACGCCAAACAGTAAGTTTTTCCGGATGCAATGGAGACTCTTGATACTGTTGTGGATTGCTGTTTCCCCAAGTGCGACAATTTTGTTTATTCATGGAGCCGTTTCAAAATATGTGCTTCATCACTGAAAATTATTTTTTTGGCCAAAATCTGGATCCGCTCCCAACTGTTCCGGAGCCCAATCAGCGAAAGTACGATGCGCTTGGTGGTCTTGGGGCTTCAGTTCTTGCGTCAAGTGGATCTTATGGATACTTGCTCAAGTCTATTCGTAAAATTTTCCAAGTCGAGGTCGCAGAAACGCCAACTGCTTTTGCATGACTCGGATCGAAAGGTTCCGGTCTTCAGCTACACTTTCGGCAACAGCAACAATATTCTCGCCTGACCGCGCGTTTCTGCTTCTTATAGCCCAGGACTATTAGACTTTCTCTGCTGAAAAAATCCCACCTGGCTGAATTTTTTGCCAGAGCTTGTTTTCAGCATTATAAATCGTCCTTCAAAAGTCCCCACGAATCCAAGTGGAGCTTTTTTTGTTATGTCGGGTCAAAGGTCACAAAAACACTTTTTTCCGTATATCTTCGTAAATATCAATTCTACGATAAAATGAGCTATTACCTTTTTTGTTCAGCATGAAATTATCAACAAAAAAGATTTTATGCATTTTTTTCGTAGAGATCCTTTTTTCAAAGAAATTTTACTTTCAATGTTGAACATTGAGAAAATTGTAAAATAACGTACTTTTTTCCACGTCACCATAGAGGTAAAGTACCAGACGCGTTTTTTTTTTCATGCGGTCTCCCCACTAGGCCTACTCCACGAAGATAGAATGAAAAAATGATGTTATTGTTACTTTTTTCCTTAGTCATCAATGTGACAAGATGCGGCATCATCTAAGTCTTCGCCAACCTCAAGTGTCTATATTATCATCGAATTCCACATTATTCGACTTTTCATTGTTGGAGATCATATCAGACCAGTCAGTAGCCGCAGATGGCGGAACAGTGAAGGCCAAGTTTCCTACATCCGCAATTAGCTCCACAACCTTTCATACAATTACAAAAGATTGTGTTTAATAAGAGATCAGGAGCAGCTGGCAATAGAGTTTGTATTGGCTGTAAACATTCGTCGGTCATAGTAGATCCCCAATCCAATGGATTCAAATTCTCTTCAAGCCATTTCTGGACTTGATAATACAAACGACATAAATGTGCTTGAGCTGCACTCGATGTTGTCGAACATTTGATTTGTAGGAGGATAATAGTCGCTATTCGTGGGTGTCGATTGTATATCTTCACGAATAATTGGTGCAGCGGTCTCTAAAATTCTAAACGTTCCTCTTTCTCATCAGATTTACGATTGTCATACCAGGTTTTGTTCAAGATATCATTACGAACATCTGAGAAATCGTTGAACTTCGAATCTTTGTTGTAATGCCGATTTTTTTACCGTACTTTTCAACAAGTTTTGTTTTTACAGTAACATCATCCGGTACAAAATCAGTACATACCTTTTTAAGTTCCGATAAATTGAACTGACAGCCATCATTATTTTCAATGTAATTACATATATATTTTCTCCATTCCCAAAGATATGTTGATATCTTGAGGTCTCCCGTGCTTTTGGGCAGTTAAAGGTCGCTCCCTTTTAGCAGTAGTAATGCTACTTGCACGAGTATATTCTTTGCGACACACAACGTGCACTCTGATCGATTCAACACTTCGCAAAAATGTGATTTTTCCATCATTTCGCTCGATACTGGCGTCACGTAAGGTTTTAACACCGCGCTCGACGCAAACAGTCGCTCCGTTTGACAGCGATTTGTTGCAAATGATGCAATTTTCGGCCATTTTTCAATATCATATGAATAATATCACGTAAGAACTGTCTGAAATTATCCGACGTATACAGCTGAGCATAGCAGAATACTGGTCTGAAGACTGGTCAAATGACGTCAATGCCCCACAGTCAGGTTATACAGTGACGTACATTCTAACACAGAAAAAAAAACGTCTTCTAGGACACAAGAGAGGACACTTATAGAGCCCCTACCACAAACATCCAAAAAGAAAACGATGTCGAAGATATATGGAAAATAGTGTTTTTGTGACCTTTGGGGGACTTTTGAGGAATGATTCATGATATTGAAAAGAAGCTCTGGTAAAAAATTCAGCCAGGTGGGATTTTTTCAGCAGATTAGCCTTCTCTTCGTCTAATAGTCCTGGACTATTACAGCAACTATTACTGCAACCGAACCGTCTCGCTCGAATTTGGCGATAATTGAATTGTTCGCTCCTTTAGACAATTGTTTCGGCCGTAGCTTCCGAAAAGTTTGACGAATAGAACACGATTTTTTATAATAATTTTTAACAATTGCAAAAATGGTGACTACGGCGGAACACAAACAACGAGGAATGATAACCGTGCCACCTGAAACTATACATTTGTGTATGTTTTTCGTCTTTAGCCAATAATCTCTAACAACCTCCTTTCGTTCAGGTCTACGCCGCGCATTCCGTAACATCCCCGGCATCGATCTGATGAGCGTGGAAAAGCTAAACCTGTTGAAGCTGGCTCCAGGTGGTCACGTCGGTCGCTTCGTCATTTGGACTGAATCCGCTTTCAAGAGGCTCGACCAGCTGTTCGGAACATGGAAGACGCCGAGCAAGGAGAAGAAGGGCTACAACTTGCCCCAGCCCAAGATGGCTAACACTGATCTGTCGAGATTGCTGAAGGCTGAAGAGATCAAGCATGTACTGAGGGTACCACAGTAAGTTTGAAATTTTTTATAATATGGAGTCGAGTGTAGAGCTTGAAAGTTTCATGTGAATTTAAATCTCATTTTCGCCACGTTAAATTAGTCAAATAGTGTCAACCAAACAAAATTAATGATAAAATCTTGCTCTAAAGCATATTATTCAAATATGTCTTAAGAAGTCATCGATTGAATATGTTTCTAGATATAGTAATAATTTATATATTTTTTATGACTTAGTTTTACAATCGTTTTCACAACTGCTGGTAAATGGTTAAAAAGTTTTAGACAATTGTAAAGAGGTTCTTTTTCAAATAACGCTAACAATTAACGAAAGATTTAGTCTTGTCAGATCAATCAAATGGCATTACCAAACGCGACTATTGTCTCATTAACAAGTATATTGATCAACTTAATATTGTGCTGTATTTTCTTTTTCAACTTGTTTTGTTAATACACCAACCTGTATACATAATTCGTTATAGCATAATACTCACTTATACGTAAATAAATTCATTAGACTCCCTTCAATAAAAAAATAATTGAAAAAAATTGGAACTATGAAGGACAAAACTAT